ACAGAAGCGGAACCCCATTTCAAGCGAAGTCATTCTGGCAGCATCGAAGATTCTACGATCAAATGCCGGCTTGGTGCTCGACGGTATGGTGTCAGACTTCGAGCGTGCTTCTGGTCCATGGCATTTGGAATGGGTGGCTGTCCCAGAAAGCTTTGTGATTGCTGTTGGAGCGCTGAACCAGGCTGACTTTGCGCTTTCTGGCCTTGTAGTAAACCCCAAGCAGATGCTCACAAATTTGTATTCTACTAGAGGTCTAATCGTCGCTGAAGCTGTAATGATGGGCCTTGCTCCGCATGTCGGTCGATCAAAAGCGCACGATGTTGTCTACGAGGCATGCAAAGAAAGTATCGAGAACGATACCAGCTTATTAGAAGCTCTGAAGACCCGATCCGAAATCACCGACAAGATTTCCAGCCAAGAGCTCAGCTCGCTATGCGATGCGAAGAACTATCTAGGCTCGTGTGGATTAATGGTGGACGAGGTCTTAGCTGCATCCAGATAAACAACATGAGAGCACATTCGCCATGCATAGACATTACTTGATAACCACATTGTAAATGCATTTTCTGAGTCAGCACTATACTTTCGCTTGACCATCTTATCATGACCGCCAAAGAACCCCGCAAGTGAGCCACTAGGTCCATGTTGCGACAGCCTTCATGTGGGAGACTGCATCCCATGTTCATCTCACGGGTCCCACCAACCCGGTAAAGATGATGACTCTTTGCCCAATGATATCCATGTGGGCCTCCTCACAGCTCCCGTAGCTACCGAATTGGAAACCCCGCTATTATGTGTATCCGGCCCCGCCACCACATCATGCACAGGCCGGACCACCTAGCTGCGGCAGATGTCGGCCTAAAGTTCCATAGCCATGGATAGTCCAATATAAGGCTGATTCTTGACATGGTAAGCTTGATCACACCTACAGTCCATCGTCATACACTCAACATCATGCAAGACTTTAAAGAACGCAAGCTCGTCACCGATCCCCAAAAGGCATTCCACTTCACAGATCTCCAAAGACTGAAGCCAACACGTGCAAACGACCCCTACGATTATCAAGCGGGATGGGGAAATCGACATCAATCAGAGGTCATTCCAGGCACTTTACCCGTTGCTCAGAATAATCCTCAGGAAGTTCGATTCGGACTTTATACTGAAGGCATCACATATTCAGCATTCGCAGCACCCCGCGCCCACAACTTTAGTACTTACATGTACCGATGCCGACCCGCAGCTGCTCATAGTATGTGTTGCTATCAAACTTCCTGCACGAATGTGCTAACGTATCACAGAGGGCTATATTCCGATTGAGACAAAGTCGAACATCACAAACTGTTTTTTGTCCATCAATCCCAAAGTCGAGACGCTTCCTGAGCAAGCAGAATGGCATCCATTTCCACTGCCAAAAGAAGATGAGAAGATTGACTTCGTCGATGGCCTGCATACACTTTGCGGTAGCGGAGACCCAAACATCAAAGAGGGTCTTGCGCTATATGTATACATGATCAACTCGAGTATGGAACAACGAGCATTCTGTAACACCGATGGCGACTTCCTTATCTGCGCGCAACAAGGCAACCTTGACATAAAGACTGAGATGGGGAAGATCTTCTTGCAACCTGGTGAGATCTGTGTTATACAGCGTGGTATTAGGTTTTGCCTGAACTTGGCTCCGGATACACCAGTGGCGCGTGGCTATATCACAGAAGTCTGGGGGTCGATGTGGGAGCTTCCGGATCTTGGCCCACTAGGTGGCCATGGTCTTGCCAATCCTCGCGATTTCCTCTACCCGGTAGCCGCTATCGATGACGATCTGCACGTAGACTGGCAGATCGTCAACAAGACCAACGGTCAGCTCGTGGCGATACAGCAAGACCACAGCCCCTTCGATCTTGTCGCATGGCACGGTAACGTTGTTCCGTACAAGTATGATCTTACGAAGTTTTCTTCGCAAAACAGCACATCCATCGATCACACTGATCCATCGATCTTCACAGTCCTCACAGCCAAATCCCGTGATCCTTTGACACCATTGGCAGACTTCCTCTGGTTTGGTCCAAGGTGGGATGTTGCGACCAACACTTTCCGACTACCCTACTTCCACCGCAATTCCGCCTCCGAATTCCTTGCCTGTCTATACGGACAAGGTCTTGGAAGAAGCGACGATTTCCGACCTGGTGGAGGTAGTTTCGAGGGCGGTCACACACCCCACGGTGGATTCCATGAGGGATACCAACATGGTATGCGGATACATGAGAGCCAACCCGAGAAGATTCTCACTGGTAAGCCACGTTCATTACCAAACAGTCGCAAGATTGCTAACGTCGACTTAGACCAATTGACCATCATGGTCGAATCAAGCCGTCTCTTCCTCTTTACTGAATATGCTCGTAAGGGCTGCGGGACAATCGAAACACGGGGAACCGACTACAAAGTTTGGGATGCTCTTCCGGATCGCTTCTCTGCCAACAAGAGAGCCCAAGAGTTACTGGCTCGAATCAAGGACGATAAGATTGCAGAGAAGAAGAGGCTTGCACCGTACTACTTCGGTGGGTTTTCGCATGGTGCCAACACCAGTAACACAGATGGTGTTCACGCTGAAGAGCTGAAGCAATATCTCACCTCCGACTCAAAGACTAACGGAACAAACGGCGTCCATGCATAAATGTTCTTTTGTGTTATCGATTTCGCGTCTCAGTCAATTTAGCGATGTAATTGTGCGAGTTCCAACACTACATGTACATTGTATATACCGCGTTCAATACTGTGCAATGAATACTGTCTCAACGTCTGTCATATCAGAAAATGTCTGTGCATTCACATACGGGACCCTTTGCGGACCCCACAAGCTTCATGTGGGGCAAGAACTTCCAGACATCAAGCTACGTTCTTTTAACATCACCGTTGACGAACATGGCGAGCCTAGAGCAGGACCATGTATTCTTTCAGGACCGTCGCGAGAGCGGCACCACACGCGTACCTTCAACCCATAGCCAGTCGGATCGCTACCCGAACATCGCAACCACAGAGAAGAAATATCGCGACTAAGAACAATGTTTCCAAACAAATGGTTGAGAAACTGCCTTTGGCTGGAATCAAAGTCCTGGACATGACCCGAGTATTAGCTGGGGTATGTGATTGACTCGGCGAAATGGAAACGCAGTCGCTAATATCAAGTAGCCATACTGTACACAAATACTTGGAGATCTTGGGTTAGTAATGGACACATAGCTAGATAGAACAGACGCTGATGAGTTATCAGAGCAGATGTGATCAAGATCGAACACCCCACACGAGGCGACGACACACGATCCTGGGGCCCACCAGATGCACCATATACGGACGGTGTCGAGCGTCAGTTCCCTGGCGAAAGCGCATATTACCTTTCCGTATGTCTGATGAGTATAATCATGTATGTGACTTTCTGACTCGACGCAGGTAAATCGTAATAAGAAGTCGATTGGACTAGCCTTCAACAACCCCACAGGAATCTCCATTCTGCACAGGCTCGCGCAGGAATGCGATGTGCTTGTTGAGAACTACCTCCCGGGATCGCTCGCAAAGTACCAGCTCGACTACGCAACCCTTGCGAAGCTCAATCCTTCCCTTGTTTACGCTTCTGTCACCGGCTATGGACAAACGGGACCATACCGCGATCGTGCAGGCTATGATGTGATGGTCGAGGCTGAGATGGGCTTGATGCACATCACCGGAGAGAGGGATGGGCCACCAGTCAAGGTTGGCGTAGCGGTTACGGATATTATGACTGGCATGTACACTGCGATTGGCATACAGGCGGCGTTATATTCGCGTAAAGAGACTGGTTTAGGCCAGTGGATCGATGCGAGTTTGAGCGACGTGCAGGTTTCGGGATTGGCAAACATCGCGAGCAGTGCGCTGGTAACAGGCAAAGGCGACAGTGGTCGATGGGGAACTGCACATGGTAAGCGCAGACTTGAAATGTAAGACCGATGATCATACTGACTTGGCCATAGCGACAGTAGTACCCTACCGAGCTTACAAAACAAAAGACACGAACATCGCAGTTGGCGGCTGCAACGACCGCCTCTATGGCATCCTCTGCGACAAGCTACAACGCCCGGAATGGAAAACCGATCCTCGCTTCCTCACAAACGCGCTCCGCGTCAAACACCGTACGGAGATCGATACGCTTGTCGAAGCCGAACTCATGACCAAGACAACACAAGAGTGGCTGGAGATTTTTGACGGAAGCGGAATGCCATACGCGGCTGTGAATGATATCAAGGGCACGGTTGAACACGAACACGTTCTTGCGCGCAATATGATTCAGGAGGTCGATCATCCAGCAGTGGGCAAGGTGAAGCTTGTCAATCATCCGGTGAAATATTCGAGAGCCGAGCCGCGGATCAGGAGTCCACCGCCGTTACTGGGGCAGCATACCGATGAGGTATTAAGGGACATGTTGGGATATGGAGAGAGCGAGATCAAGGAGCTGAGAGATAAGAAAGTTGTTGCGTAGATGTTGATGTTGCGCACTACCCCTGCATTCCAAATCCTCGAAACAAGAACGCGTGCCAATGAATACGGTTCATCAACTTACGCGTCATCACATGATTCGATATCCTTGCAAGCTTTTAGTCTTACGCTGCACGTTCTCCAAGACCCAACCACCGAATTTCCCAAGCAAACCTTTGAGAGTGACGTTTCGCGAAGCCCCACGTGGCTCCGCTTTCTTCGACGCGGATCACCGGATAAGTGCGCTAGCCCCACATGCGCCATCAGCATGCACCCCACAACGTCCTTCACGCGACATGCTCTGGGCCATATCGCGGATGTATTGTGCCCTGCATGTGCCATGTGGGCTTGATATTGCGAAAGCCGGCCATGTGGTATACGACTAGTGGGGGTAGAATGCGTACTGAGAGTGTTGTGCGAGGATGGCATGGCTGGTAAACGCGTGTTAAACGTGTAAAAGCCAGGCACGGTTAAGTAGATACCTAGGTATCTTCAGTATGACAACTAAGAATATTGCAGTTGGAACAGGTAACAATGCAACGGCACTGCCGTTCCGTTACCAGTTTGCTGCTGGGGCTGTTGCTGGGATATCGGAGATTTTGGTAATGTGAGATTAGGTACCTTGATGTTAGAATTCGAGAAAGCTACTAAGAACATAGACAGGTACCCGCTTGATGTAGTCAAGACACGGATCCAACTTCAGCATGGCAAAGTCGTTGATGGTGAAGGGTACAATGGTGTCTTGGACTGCTTCAAAAAGATTATCAGGAATGAGGGTGTGTTAAGATTATATCGCGGTATTACTGCGCCTATACTGATGGAGGTACCCAAGCGGTACGATCAAATCTTCCTCTCGAGTTGACGACAGCTGATCAAAGGCAGTGCCATCAAGTTCTCAGCGAACGACACTTTCACACAGTTTTATCAACACCTGTTCTCTACTCCGACAGTAACCCAACCTCTCGCAGTCCTCACAGGTGCCAGCGCCGGCGCAACAGAATCCCTCGTAGTTGTTCCTTTCGAGCTCCTCAAGATTCGACTACAGGATAAGACCTCTGCATCACGATACAACGGCCTCCTCGACTGTCTCGTCAAAGTAGTTCGCCAAGAGGGGCCATTAGCACTATACAACGGTTTCGAAGCCACGTTATGGCGGCATATTGTATGGAACGCCGGGTATTTTGGCTGCATTTTCCAGGTGCGGGCTCAGCTACCCGCTCCAGCGACATCGAGCAACCCGAGAAGACAGAAAATGGGGAACGATCTCATCGCCGGATTTGTGGGAGGTGTTGTGGGAACGACATTCAACACGCCATTAGATGTAGTCAAGAGTCGAATACAGAGCGTCGCTAAAACACCTGGTGTAAGGCAGAAGTACGCTTGGGCGTGGCCGAGCCTGGGGGTCGTTGCAAGAGAAGAAGGGTTCAGAGCGTTATACAAGGGATACGTGGCGAAAATACTCAGATTTGGACCAGGTGGAGGTGTATTGCTGGTCGTGTATTCTGCAGTGTTGGATATGTTCGCCAAAACAGCATAAGCATCGCTTGAATTGAAGGAGCGATTGCTTAGACGCTGATACAAAGAAATATCGGCTCCATCTAGTTGGTCCAGCCCTCGTAGCTCAAACATCTGTTCCAGACTTGACGAAGATGTGCAAACTATTCAGGGCAAATGGTAGTAACTGTCATGTGCTTGTCATTGGTTACTGACCAACATTCCAAATCTCAGTTCTGGTATTTCCCTTGAGCCGACAATGAAATGTCACACGCTCACTCTCAACTGTTCTTGTCTCTTCAGTGAATTCATGTACGTTAGTCGTATACCCATCCGCTTACTTACCTGAGACGCGATCATCCGATGTGCAAACCTCTAGCGGAAGATTGACAGAATGAAACGTGGCTAGCCGACGTCTAAAGTAGCAATTGATTGATTCAATGCGCCAGATCAAGCAAAGCTAGTCACCTAAATGAGGCGAATGAGACAGTCGGAGATTCCAACACGGTCAGCAGTCAGGGGAGGCCCCACTAGCGTACGCCTCATGGTCCCACATGAGAGTCGATCCGGGGTTGGAGCAGGACAAAGTCCTTCGAGAAGTCTTTGAAATTTGAGGCGTGTCTTCGGGTCATCTATCTCGTCATCCAACAAGTGCGACAAGGCACGGTGCGATTTGCGGTGTTTGGTGATGGCATGGCGTTAGACGATGGTCTGAGGGTCCTGCACGCCGGAGGTATCTCCAAGTGGCGATTGTGGACCACCAACGTGAAGATCAGCTGTATCCTTCAGAGGCACACATATGCGCGCGGCGCAATCTGCAGCAGCAGGATTGCAGGTTTATATGCGTTTTGTAGATGAAGGTTGAAATGAGCCTATAATGCTTAGGCCGAGTCATGGTCTTGCTTTCCCCCGCAGTCCGCGATCTCTTGGCGACCTAGACAGCACCTGCAGACACCGACCCTCGAAGGGTCCTCCGACATCCGCCTACACATCGAATCTTTGCGACGAGCGACATGGCGTTAAAACAGTGCAGCATGTGCGATCGCACATTCACCAAATGTATGTCGCGGCCGCGCGCGTCAAGAAAATGGGCTGACCTCTCCTCCAGTAGAGCACGTGAAAAGGCATGAGCGGTCGCGTCCGTCTATCGTGAACCCTCATTATCATCGTTGACTAAACATCATCTCAGACACACGAGAACGACCCTATGAGTGCCCGACATGTAAAAAGCACTTCTCGCGCAGGTGAGTCCCCCAATGAAAAACCTCCGTACTAGCGTCCAACCTCTGCGAATAGCGATGTTCTGTTCCGACACTGCAAAGGTCACGCGCAGAATGCGATGAACCGGATGAAGAGCAATGAGCAACAAAACACCAACGATCAGCAAGAGTTCCGTCACAACTCGATGGACGAGAACCAAACATCACGACCATCTGCATCACGAACCGCAAACGGCCCGACTCCAGGACCAACGCCATTAATCCGTGAAGATTCCAACTTCTCGCCTATGTCCAGGAGAAGAGAATCCCAAATACCGCAAATGAACGTGAATGATCAGTACAACGCGCATATTTCTCCGCAGACTCATACCCGGCAACCTCCATCGCGATTGCAGCCGCCGTCACCCGGTGAGGACCGAATAGAAGCGCTCATCAATGCGGCGCAGCATCTCGAACCCGGAACCAACACGCCATGGCGATCGCCATCACCTATGATCATTGCGCGTGCAGAACATGCTCAAATGTCCAATCGAAATCTTCACGAAAGTATGGGTCCACCGATCGACCCGGCTATGGAGGCCCTCACATTCTCACCAGCCGGACATGTATCGAGTTTGGATCAGTGGGCTTTTGAGCTTGTCCAAAGCAACAACCCAGTTCCCAACCGTACTCCTGCAGACGCCTTACAAACATGGCTGTTTCCGCTCGAAGGTGATATGAACACTCCTCATGGTTCACACCACCTGGGTGTAGAAGGCTTTTTCGACCATGAGGCGTTTCGAGCAGTCCCAGAAAATCAAGCTAGCCCATCGGGTAGCAGTGTTTCAATAGCAAGCAGAGTCCCACGAGAACGGTTCCAGCGAGTCCAAAGTTGCTGGCCGTCCAGGAATCGCAAATCTACACGGCTGATGCCAGACCTATGGCAGAATCTAGTGGCGTGCGAATGCACCAACATACTCTCTGAAGTTGGCTCCGGAGCTATGGAAACTCCAATGAGCGAAAGAGAACGGCGAAACTCGCGTTGGGGACTGGACGAAGAGTGCAGGAGCAGGCTCCAAAGCACGCTGAACAATTTACCATCATCCGGACCGCTGCGGTCAGAATCCTATGGCGACACTGCATCGTCGAGCGGCGATGCAGCAGGAAGTCCAAGTATCGAGGGTGTGCAGTTCCCACCTGCTGAAATCTTGGACATCGCATTGGAGATGTATCTCTATTACTTTCATCCTACCCTTCCAATCATCCATATTCCTACTTTCTCGGCAAAGAATGCGCCCCGGCCACTGCTACTTTGTATGTGTCTTATTGGACTAAGCATCCTTGGTACGGCAGGTGCAGCAAAGTTTGTTACACGCACATTTCCTGTAAGCAACATTGCAGTGGTATATGTCCCATGACGACTAACATATGCATAGGCTGTGTTACAACTTGCGTTGGCGGAACTACAATCACTACCGACAACAGACCATCCGCCGCACAGGCAAATGCGGATGATTGCCACTAGCTTGCTTGCGCTTAATTTAGCATCGATCACAGGAGTGAGTAGCACTAATCGATAGCATACATTATTGGCTAACATTCACATAGCGAAAAAGCCGTATTGCACAAGCAGAGAAGATGTATGCAGAGCTCATCGAGGTACATAGCCGCTTGTATACACTGCTCCCAGTCATTCAACTAACTGTTCCAGTTCTCGCAAAGTCAGGGGCTTTTCTCCGCTAATGAGGGCGTAAAGATCGACCCTCTTCTCGACGAGATGATCGATATCGACTCTAAGTGGAAGGCTTGGTCCAAGGTTGAATGCGGCAAACGTATCATCTTTGGTCTCATAGAAGCAGATTGCTGGTGGGCAGGCTATCTATCAACGTCGCCAATGATCCGCCCCGAAACAGTACAAATTTTGCCACCCTCGGACTACTCCCTATATCACGTCAACAGCGCAGCGAAATGGTTTAATCTTGTACAGCGTGGCGCAAGAATCCACTCGCAGAAGATAACACCGTCATTTCATCCGACCCCAGGACTGAAACTCGATGCATCAAGCTTTCGCTCACTATTGACCCTTCTCCTCCTACGCATCTACGAGAGCAACGATAGACTTGCTCAAGTGACAGGAAATCAAAAGCAGCTACGGCCCTGGCGCATATACGCTGAAGATGCTCGTAGTCGAGACATCCTCCCGCTGTTGGTGAACCTCTCCAGTTCTTCGATCGACGCACTTCGAACGGCGGACTTGAATTCCGCTGTCCTTTGGCATGCCTCTTGCATGGTGCTTGGAGCAAACATACGCTACTTCGAACTCGCAGCTGGACGCTCCGGTCCCGAGCCTGCCGTCAACGCTCTGGAAGACATCTCAGTATGGTGTCAAACACCAAGCGCAAGAAGGAGCGTGCTGCACGCCGCCCACATCTACAAACTACTCTTCGACCGAAAAGTTAGTGATATCGTCAACCCACACAGCGTGGTCGCTCTGTTCCACGCTGCCCTCGTCCTAGGCTTATACATCTTCGCCCTTCCCCCAACGCCCAATTGTCCTATCAACGACTCGTGCATCGAGCTTCTCGATCTTGTAGACTGGATATCTGTTGGTCAGCTTGGTTTTATCGATACGCCGCAATCGCCTGTAGCATTCGGCGATACCTCGCAAGTCGTGAAGTTCATACACCACGGTGGGAGCTTTAGTATAACTGGTATCACACTCGAGGGCGGATATCTCGCGGCTCGCCGCACTTTGTTACATTGTGCAGATCTCATGGAAGGCATGGGTCGCTGGAAGAGCAGAACATTCAGCCAGATACTACACATCATGAGCGATGATCTGACAGACTATGAGGGTCACGATAATGATGATGGGGAGGATGAAGTAGATGGCGGCGGGGAAGAAGGGGAGAGGAATACGAGGTGACGGTTAGCATCCTCTTCCCAGCAGTGTCTTTCGATTACCCAATTGCAAGGCCTGTGGGGAAGAGGATGATGATCAAGATAATCACGGAGTGATCCTTGATATCGTTTGAATTCGATGGGAACTGGTTTTGCGACGCTTCAACAGCGTGATCTGGATAGGTGCAGAGCGTGCCAAGGTGGAGTTAGTCAGGGATGGTATACACGGTTTGCATTGGGTGGCGTTGAACCGCATAGCCAAGGTGTTGTGCAGCGGCAGGCAGAGTCATGAAGCGGAATCGCGACCTCGAAAAAGTGGTTTGTTCTTCTTAAAGATGTACGTAATATATCATGCTTGTCGCTAGTAATGTACAAAGATGTTACATGCAACGTATAATCGACACCTGCATGTAAGCGCCTACTATCCTCTCTATAGTTTCAACCCTGAGGACATAACCATATTTTTCTAGTAGAAAGCTTCCATGACTGTGTTCCTAGCTAGTGCTCTACACTTTTAAATCTGTCAACCTCTCGATGAGCACGTCGAACACCTTACTGCTGCCATCGACGACTTGTGCAATAGTGGCCCAGAACATTGCCGCTGGAAGCATATCGGTGATTGTGATAAAAGTAGGTCGTCTGGGAATAACAGAGAGGTATTGCTGCTTCGAAATGGACGTGGTATCCGAGTCTTCGACATCCGCACCGTTCTCTTGATCCTGCTCGATGAAAAAAGGATTTTGGCGAGGTGGAGAAATCGAAGATTGCCAGCGGTTTATATGATTCCAACCCTCAAGCTCGGAGCCAGATCCATCAGGTATCCTATGTAAAAAATAGTTCTTCATCTTTTGCCTTCACAGGCGTTCCATACGTGATCAAGTCTCCTGCTGGTCCGCCGTCCATGACCGTCTCTATAGGCGCAAGGTCCGTGTCTCTGAATTTATCTAGCTCGGCCAAAGCTCTCTGCTCCGCTACTTCTTCTTCTTCCACTCTGGCCTCTCGCGCAAGCTCAGTGAGTTTTCTCTGGGGAGATGTGTCACCTTGATGTTCCGATGGCGAGATTTCGTCGCTTTCTTGTGCTTTGACGCAGCTGAGTGCGCGATCTACGGGCGAACCTGGGATGGAGTCGCGGGTTGCGAAGTCGATGTGCTTGCTATTAGGGGTCTGTACGACAGCGCAAGCAGGGGAAGAGAGGTTGGTCGAGAAATTCGATGCTGGCGGCGTGCCTTCTAAGGCTTTGCGACCATCCTTGGGTGAAACGACCGTTTGATGACAGTCTCTGGAAGCTTCGGAAGACTGCTGTATGATTAACGGAGGCTGTGTAGATGCATATACATGATGCCTTACATCATACGAATTGGTGGCCATCTGTTGTCCTTCCACTGGATGCATCTCTTTATCTTTGTGGAAAGCTTTGAGGTCAAAGGTCTCCGCGATAGCTAGCCTATGATCTGATACGCCATCGATCGGCATATCGAAGTCGTAATCCCCGCCTGCGACGGCTGCTTTCTGCACTCGCTTCTGTTGCCGATATTGCTCTTTCAGACTGTTCTCAATTGAAGCGCGACGGCACTCCAGTTCTCTGGCCCCGTCGGAGGCTTGCTGATTGTGAGGATAGAATCTGCTGTAGTCGCGAACCGGCACAGACGATGCCATCTTACCGGTCATGTTCATGATGTCCTCGATCGTATCGCTATCCTTCTCATCTGTTCCAAAAGCACCTTCGCCATCGCTCAGCTCCATACTGTCGTCTTCATCTTCGTAGCCGTCTTTTCGCTCGTCACCGTGAGCTGATTGGTGATTCTCACAGCTCATCTTGTCCTTGTAGTTGTTGCTGTTGGGAGTTTCAGTCAGGATTGACTGACTTGCTGGCCCGTCGCTAAAGTACGGTGTTGGGGAAAGAGGTGAAGGGCTGCGCACGTCGTGCAGCATCTTCTGACGGGTGCGACAGCCGGCTGGCGAGAAAGAAGGGCGCTGTGGGTCAATGGGCAGTAACGGTGACGCCATGCTGGTGTTGCCTTTGGATAGCGGACGTTCGTCTAGTGAGGTTGATGTTTGTGCAGTTGGCGTCAACGGTCTTGCAGAAACCGGCGAGCTCGGGAGATTCAGCAAGCTGTGGTTCTGGGGTGACGACACGAATAGAGCGTTGGGCGAAAGTGTCATTGGTTTATTGCAGTAGTTGCGACCGAACGAGGGGAACGAAGTTGACAGGGAAAGAAGTGCAATTGAGCAGGTAACACAAGCACCTACCCCAAGTGGAGACGACAAACGACAAATGGAAGCATTGACTAAACAATGCACTGCAACAAGCACACCTGATGAGGACTATGCCGAATGATACAAGTCGCACACGAGAGCGCCACTATCAAGCTTAATACTCAACACCTTCCTCACCAACACGCACGCCTCTTAGAACATAGCCGTTTCTCTTAGCTTCGACTGCCTCTCTTATGATCGTGTCTTCAATGTCCTTACTTCGCACCTTCCATCTCACCCGGTACGGCTTCGCCATCGTAGTGCTTCCGACAGCGTCAAACGCTCCATCGCTAGTATCTACCTGCAGATCATTCCCCTGTTGATTAAGCGGCGGCAAAATGTCGAAAGCCCATAGCAGCTTCGCCAATACGATGAACATACTGTTCTCAGCTAGATGCACACCCGAGCAAATTCTGCGGCCCGCACCAAAAGCCCAGTGATCGCGGCTCGCAGCTGGGCCAGCTGCGTAGTGTCCGCTGCCATGAGGGTAATTGATGTATCTCTCCGGATTGAAACGTTGGGGATCCTCGAAATGATCTGGATTGTAGTGAATCGGGTATTGTTGAAGACACACGACTGACTTGGCAGGTATGTGGATGCCTTTGTAGGCTATGGGCGCGGTAGTATAGTGTGGCGTACCGATGTTTGTGACGGGGCGCAGACGTAGGGTTTCCTTGACGATGGCGCGGATGTACGGAAGTCTTGACTCATCCTCGAACGTCGGGGATCGAGAGGACGAGGTAATTCCTCTTATTTCCTCGACTGCTCTTTGTCGTGCAAGTGGGTTTGCGCTGAGGTACAGAACAGCCGTATTGAGCGCCGCCGACGTCGTCTCGCTTCCAGCTTCGATCATGCTGCCAGCCAAGAATGCTGCCTGTAACTCACTGATACCCTGCTTTTCATAGTCGCTCTCGATGAATTGCTTTACAAAACATTCTGGGGCTTGTTTGGTCTCCATCTGAGTTTTAAGAGTACTCCAAAAGGACATCCATAGATTCGCTTGCTTATCAAAATATGGTTTGACCCCTTTACGCCACCATTGTAGTCGTGGTGGAAGGTTACCGAGGAACGGAAGCGTGTCTGCCAAGTAGGTACCTGGTTTTGCCATTGTAGAGAAATCGTTCATGATATCGTAGATGCCGTGAACTTCATCGCAGTCCTGGTGCTCATCAGCAACCCATGTTTGTACTGTTGTATGTGTCACTCACCCATTCCGGTATCCTTCTCCCATATGTGCTTGTCATGATAACGCTTACAGTATATCGTCTGATCGCTTTGTAACTCACTTCATTTCCTTTCCCTGGGTCCGCGCCCTTCAATATTTCTTCAAGCAACATCTTCGCCTCGAACTCCTGACTTGGTTTAAACGTCGCGCTTACAGCTGGTGTCAACAGCTTATGGCTGATGCCTCTTAGCTTCCTCCATTCTGGACCATACTCCATGAACAGGAACCTCATTCCGCCGCCTAGTGCATCCCCGGATACCGGTAATGGTGCTCGAGAGCTTGTATGCGCTGACTGCTTGTCTAGAATCTCTTTACACGCATCCGGCGAGCATATCATATACCAGTCGTTCCATCCCAAACGGATCTTATAGACTTCGCCATACTCGCGGGCCCAAGCGGTAATTTGCTGATGTGGTTGTTGGCCCAATTGATGTGCGTTTCCAAGGATTGGAAGACCCGCAGGTCCAGGCGCGACTTTTGTTCCAGATGGTGCCTTCTCCTTGTATCGCTTGTAAAGGATGAAGACTACGAAGAATAGTATGACCAGGACGATGGTATACATGTGGGGCTAGCTGAGGAGGGACAGTCTCAAGGTATATCTGGAGAGAAACAACAAAATAGAAGTAGAATTATACAGTACATTTAATGAATCATCTTGAAGATTTGATATACGGGGGTATGTCCATGGAATATTGCCGCATCTTGAGACGCGGCGCACTGAACGTGCCATCATGCAAGTTTCCCCACATGTTCGGTTGGATGAATCCTACGCTGCGCATGCTTAGTGCAGAAGAGGGGAATGCGGAGCAGGTGAGCTTACCTTGATCACGTATTGTACTTTACTCCAACGCCCGACGTATTCGGTCCGGGACAAGACATTGTTTCTAGCGTTGGGGAAGATGTAGGTGCTATAGCGCCCTCTTGCGCGCTGGCGCAGCTCCACCAAACCGCCACCAGTGCGGCACGAAGTCTTTCCATTAGTGTCCGCTCAAAGACTTCTTAGCTACCTATCCAAGTCTTGAAATTATTGTCCGTAGGTAATGACATGTTGTAGCGGTCTAGAGGAAAGCCTGTTGTTTGATCCTCCGCATGAAAGGAGTGCTACGGAGGCCGAACCAGCCCTGGTTCGGGGTGTTCAGGCGGCCATTTAGTCAGCCGTCGCTGTCGGCTCCTCCCAAACCACCGAGCATGTCCACCTTACCAGAGAATCGCGACTTAGTCAATCAACAGGCTCAAACAGCGCGTCATGAAGCTGTTTCTATTCGACCTATAAAAACTGCGTGCATAGTCTCATAGCTAACATTACAGAACATGCTTACCCGCCTCGCAGTCCGTACGCCGGTGCGCTTTCTTACATCCAGCCTATATCTGTCGAGTCTCCGCCCATCGAACTTCCACCCATCGAGCCTTTCCACTACGTACCAGCGCACGATGTCTACGTCTACTTTCACGCTCGACCCTGCGATATTCAATCGATCATTATACAGGAAGATAACAGACTTGTGGTTTTCTGGCGTTGATACGACTGGTCAGAACTTTGACATGAGCGTTGCAAAACGCTGGTTCGCAAGCAGTCCTGAAGAGCGAGACGTCTTTGATGGACAATGTAGAAGCACATGCGTGAATGCGCTTGAAGCAATCGGACCAGACAAATTCCCAGAAGCGAGTGCGCAGCCATTTCTAGACGAGATTGCGCGCGTTGCGGAGGAGGAAAGCAAGGCAGATGCTGCGACAGGAGAGGAAGCTGCATGGACGGCACTGAGTTTCGCACTGCTGCTAGACCAAATGCCACGGAACATATACCGCACAGAAGACGGTTTGCGACTGGTGTACACGCATTACGATCGTATTGCTCATGCATTCACTCGCAACATTTTGTCGCACTCTTCGCCCATTCCCCGCCCAGATACACACCCAGTCATGCGTCTCTCTGCTGCGCACAGGACTTGGCTTTACATACCTCTGATGCACTCTGAAGATCTATCTGCCCATGACCTCGCCGATGGGATCCTGACGGAGTTTTCTCGAGAACTCGAAGGTATAGATGGGTATAATGGCACGAAGATGTGGGTTGAGAACTACCAGAAATCTGCGAAGGAACACAGGGACATACTGGAACAGTTTGGTAGGTATCCCCATCGGAACACTGCCTTGGGTAGGATTAGTACAGACGAAGAGCGTAGGTTTATTGAAGAAGGGGGAGCAACATTTGGTGTTGCACAGAATCAGAAGGGCAACACAGAGAAGGTAGATGCAGTATAAATTCGCAAAGCAATGTCAAAATTCCACTATACTTTGATATATCGGCAAGAACCTGCGTAGTAAGTAGTATGCTGTGGCGCTGCATTTGAAATGACTTGAGCGTAAGCATGCTGTCGTGCAACAAAGTCTGTGCATGGAGCATCAACATAAACACTTGTCCACCCACCCATCTAAGCTACTGCAAAAAGAACATAACCACTTCCAGCATTCCTAGTGCTACCCAGTCGTCCACAAGAGCAAAAAGTGGGGTCTTACCGCGACTCGAACGCGGGGCCTCTCGCAAGCTGTGCTTGGGTTTACCCTAAGCGAGACTGAGAAGATGTTAGATGGAGAAGAGTTGTCTTGGGACTGAGTAATACTTACATCATACCACTAGACCATAAGACCAGAACACCTGAGTTGGCGTTGTTGTTGATGGAGTATTCTTGGATTTTTCTGTTTATATACCAATCAAAAATCCAATCATGAAATGGTGGGTCTGCAGGGTGGTCGAAGTGGCCTCCGTGGATACCACATCACGAATACGAATGATGTGGGGTAACTTAAGTAGCTTGCAACAGCAGCCAAGTACGATCCTCATACTCGTGCGCTCGATTCGACAAATGTTTGTTAAGATCTACGAGCATTCGAATAGTGCAGGTTGTAAGGCTGGCATGATAAGGTTATATGACATTCTCTTTTTCGCCACCTCTGTAGTCCAAGCAGCATTGCTACGCTGGATCGGAGAAGCGTACAATCGACGATGCACTAGCCTAAAGATTTGCAGGCAATTTTGGAATTATCAGGAAGATTCTATACACCGACATCATGCTAGAATATGGCTGTTGAATCGACAATCATCATCAGTACGAACAAGGGTAGCAGAAAAGCTTCAGGTTGCGATTGTCGCGGCGGATGCGCTACCGCCAGGGTCGCGCCGCATCTCGCTTCGACATCATGGACGCGTCCCTCAATGTTGGCCAGCCTTGCATCACATCACGCCTCTACTGTTTCCGCCAACTTTGACCTTGCAACGCCAAATTCCGATGGCTTTCGCGGTCGTACCTCCTCCTCTACACGTTTCGTAAAAGTAAAAATCCACAATGGTGCGATTGCTGATTCCTGAAGGTGAGCACTTGGACACCCCAGAGATATCTAGCTCCAGATCTGACAAGGACAGGCGAGGGACAACTGCCCTTCCTTCCCAAACCGCCTGCCGCCATTGCCACACAAAGCGACCTCATCGCAGTACCATGGAGAGGTTGTGTAGGCGCTGCGGTCGTTACTGGCAGCCTGGCTCTTGTTGGCCGCTCCCGACCTGGCGTGTTTCTCAAGTCCGCCGCCTTTATTAGCGCCGTAGACCTTACCTGGACAGCATCTGTGATATATGGGCGCCATGAGTTGAATCGAGGTGTGTTCAAGATGGAGAACATACAACCCAAGCCTGGCAAGCTATGGGAACAGACAAAGCATTGGACTTCTGAAGATATGGCATTGGTTGGTGGAGCACTAGGAATATTCATGGCATTGAATCCGCGGGCTTTGCCAGGTGTCTATGGTTTCTCACGATTCTTTGGAGCGGCTATGGTTGGATCTGCGCTTAGCGTCAAGGTCAGCCAATCCATGGATAGGCTCAAATATCCCCCAACACTCCTCCAGCTCTTCGATCAGACGGTTACTACGGCTCGACAAAAGGAATATGAAAAGCTACAGAACGACGAAAGGGCCAAGGCATCCCTCTCTCGAATCGGCAAACTCGCACTCTGGTACCACTCATCTTCGTTAATGGGAGTTCTCCGCAGCCCTCTGCAAATTGGGGCAATGGGTGGCATGCCTGGTGGACCGATTCAAGTGGGGCATGGAGGGAGTTCCGGGCCTGGTGGTGGCTCGTTGGCTGCACTGAAAGCTGAAATGGAGAGAGAAACTGTCATCCAGATCCAGTTTAAAGAAAACGAACTTGAAGGACCTGATGTGGAAAACGGATATCGTGCGTATAAGGACGATCTCGAGTCACGAGATGCGAGCAAAGTACAGGATTGGTTAGAGCAAGTCCAGGCTCTCAAAAAGCAGGTGGGCGCCGAGCTGCAATACGTTTGGCCGCACCTTGCGCAGAGAGAAGATGAGTTTTACCAACATGTGCAGGAAGACAGGGAGAAGGATATCATTCGTCGAGAACTACAACTGCTCAACAACATGGCTTCTGATCTGGTAGTTCGGTATGCGGCCCTTGAGTATCACGAATACGATGCGCAGAAGCAACTACAACAGGTTACACAAGCAGGCCCCATGGGCACAGAGCTAGATGCAGTTTTCCAGGACGTCACAAAGTCGTACAAAACGCCCCAACATCCAGCTGAAGATATCGAAATGAGCTATCACGGTCCGAGAACTGTAACGGAACGAATACGCACAACCTGGTCAAGACAAAAGGAATTACTACGCCATCTGGACCATAGTATCACCCGGGTTAGAGCCTTCGAGCCCGAGGAAGGGAGTCATGTCGCTGAGCACGTCAAGCGTCTTGTGCAGGATGCCGAGATGATGGGACGGAACATCGAGGCCACTGAGCGATTGTTGCAATGGTTTGAGGAGCAAGTACGACAGGCTGATGAGGCAGGAAAAGACGATGCTCGTCGAGACGGAGTTTGACCGAGGTCCGTTGATTCCTGAGTGAGGACTTCCTTCGTTCTGCATGTCGCATTACGTTGCATGGTTCTAACAATCAATGTTACGATGGCTGAATCCTGTCAAGGCGCGCGCGTCGATAACATTCAGCTCTTCCGAGGTCATGTGAAGTCAGACATGCAGCATTTGCAGTACATAAGGTATGTTGCCAGTACCACTTAGACGTGATATCAATCATGCTAACAGAATGTTTTAGATGTAGAGTGATATGAGCATATTAGCGAAGCATCGTCCCAATTCGATAACTGTCCTGCTTATGAAGATATCACATGTAGGATGAATATGTATTGTGGAGAAGGCGGGTGAAGAAATAGCCATACAGTATGCTCTAGATGGCTCAACCAATTAGCGAGCGCTCTTGTTTGCTGGATTTTCGGATAGAGTTGTAAATCAATTGTTCGTGACCAGCTATGTACATGATGGGTAGCGAACGAGCTTCGTGGTCTCATTTAAACGCTTTTTTAGCATCTGTTCCGCATTTGTGCCAGATAAGTGTCGGCGATGGATGACGTAACCGGTTGGGAGTGGACGCGGAAATCTTTCGCCGCTGCACTTCTAGAAGAGTCACTACAACTGCCAAATTCACAACCACCACCACCACTTTCCCGTACCGACTGTATTCATAAGCGCGCTCACAGACCCAAAGATGCGCTCACTACGTCCATCAGCAGCGCGCAGAATCCGCGCATCGCTAACTCCGGAAACAACAACACGGACATTCCACGCACGACAGAGCCCAAGGCCATGTCTCCTTTGCGCACACGGCATACCGCCCCAGGCGATATCGTGCAGATTGCAGTCGACGTCTTCGTCGTTCAATACCGTCGAAAAGCCATTTGATACGCAGAGTGCCACAACACAATCGTCGCAGGTCCCGCAAACACACTATTCCTTCTTCCCGAATGCCCTTCCAGCCGGACCACCGCCAGACGGCCCCTTTGCCATCGATCTCTCTGCGCTCAAGAAAGAGTTTCTCCAACTTCAAGCCCGCGCCCATCCCGACCTCCATCCCCAGGCAGACAAGAAACGCGCCGAAGCCCTCTCAGCACGCATCAACGAGGCCTACAAAACACTCCAGAACCCGCTTCTGCGCGCGCAATACCTGCTGTCTCTGCGCGGAATAGAAGTAGCAGAAGACGAAACGGCCAAAGTGGACGACCCAGAGTTATTGATGGAGGTGCTCGAGGCGAGAGAGAACATAGAAGAGGCAGAGAGCGAAGAGGACTTGGTGGAGATGAGGGAGAGGAACGAGGAGAGAATAGCGGAGAGCACGGAGATAATCGACCAGGCGTTTAAGAGAGATGACCTAGATGCTGCCAAGAGTGAAGCGGTCAAGCTGAGGTATTGGGTCAACATCAAAGAGAGTATTGAGAACTGGGAAAAAGGGGTGCCGGTTGTACTGCAGCATTAGGTGCATATCAAGACTATCAGGACCGACTCAATGCCACAACCTCCACGCTTTGAACACGGTCCACCCACCCTAAACGGGAACAGTAATGGGGTTCATCACCCCCGCTCCGCCATCGACCTTCAACTCCGCCCCAGTAATATAACTACTGAATCCACTCGCCAAGAACCCCACCGTCCTGCCTACCTCCTCTGGCCTCCCTGCTCTCTCCAAACCAATCGTTCTCTTCTGGCTCTCCTCTCCCTGCAGTGCAGCGGGAGGAAACTGGCCCTGTGCCATCTCTTTGACACCACAGTCCTTTAGATCGACGCCGACATCAATCTGCCCAGCCGTAATAGCGTTGATCCGCACACCGGTTCCCTTGAGCACGAGCACACCAGAGCGTACAACACCAAGTGCAGCATGCGAAGCCATTGTAAAAGCAGGAGCCCAACACCCACCATACGTGCCCGCAACGCTGGTGACGACGATGATACTCCCATACGGAACGTCCTTTGGTGCAGCATTAGGATAACTCCCCTTGGGCGTTGTCTTTTGCATTGCAGCGGGCGCATACTTGAGCGCGAAGAAAGCAGGCATGGCATTTGTATCAAATGCTGCGTACAAGTCTTTCGGCCCCGTCTGGTTGATAGACGGGGGTCCCAGCAAACCGGTAGAAGATGTCCAAACATCGAGTCGGCCCCAGGAGTTTAGCACGTCATCAATCAGGGCGAGAGTGTCTTCTTCCGAGTTGATTTTGTAAGGGTAGCCGATGACTTTTGTGTTTGGGTATTGCGCATTTATTGAGTCGGCGAGTTCGGTGTAAGTTTCTGAGGGGAGGCTAGAGCATGCATATATGCATGCTGCGCCGTGTGCTGCAAAGAGATGTTAGTGAGTGACTGTAAGGTGGATATGGACGCGACTTGCCTGCAAGCTCAGCGACGATTGCTTTTCCAACGGGCTGGGTTGCTCCTGTAACTACGCATACGAAACCATACTAGATCACATGGCGGCGTCAATCATCACTTCTTCACATGCTGCCTATAGTCCTCAAGACTTGTGTCCAAGTCTTGCCAAATCTCTTGCAACAAATCTGGGAACTTTTCCTGCAAAACATACCAATTTTCCATCTGCTCTATACGGCGAAAAATGCTCCGAGTCTGTAATTCCAGCATCTCGTGTCCCGTTCCCGTTGGCAGTGGCCATGTTTGCAAATATGCTCAAGGTGCCGTTGCGACAGTTGGTAATAGACAGAGTTTAGAGGGAGAAGAACAGAACGCGCACAGCAGCGCGTCTGCGAACCATCACATCATGTCATCAGGTCAATTGGCAGTTATTTGCTTGGTTGGAAGATATTATGTCAGGGCACATATCCACGGGGCGCGGAGATGCGAATTACATGTGCGATTGTTGGCTGAGATGGGGACCTTATCGGGACCTTATCGGGCTGCATGGTGGCTGCTGCGGGGCAGGGGAAGGGTCATGGTAGCTATGTGCTTAGACGACTTGGATGGATATGCTTTCATTACAAAGCTCGAAACAAGCAGAAATTCGAATTTCATATAACAGGGTTTCAGAACTTGTCGTATCTAGTCTATCATCTAGTTCTGGTAACCAGAGAATACATCAACACTTCCAAGGATGACATGCTTCACGCCGTCTTCGCCTTGTCGTCTTCTTGGTTCTTCCTCAACTCCTCCCGCGGTGGCAGCACATCGGGCCCGAAGCTGAGCGGAAGCAGCTCGCCCATGGTTCTCACAATCCACTTGCCCTCCTTGTTGAACATGAAGATGGGTGTCTCGAGCTTCAAAAACTCTCGCAGGAACTGTCTGCACATTCCACACGGCGAGCAGAAGTCGTCAATGTCGGTCGTTACACCAACGGCTTTGAAGCTTCCGATGCGATGGCCTGCCATGACAGCTGTACCCATGGCTACGCGCTCCGCGCAAGTGCCGACAGGGTAGGACGCGTTTTCGACGTTTGCGCCGATTATAGTGTGGGCTGCAGATGTATCCGTCGCCGAAGATGTGGTAAGGAGGAGGGATGCGCCGACACGGAAAAGGGAGTATGGGCCTGATCAAACATCCTGTCAGCATGGCATATTATTGAGCATCTCTTCGATTACTACTGCCACATACAATAAGCTCTGGCCCTCGCATCAAAGCACTGTTCCCCCAACACCTGCAGCTCCTGCGCCGAAACGCCATGGATCAACCCATCTTGCTCTGTCACAGCTTCACCAGGGCTGAATTTTGGTATCGTGACTGTTGACATGGTGGAAAGAAGGGAAGAAGAGAAGAGGCGACGCGACGCGGGGGAGTTTTGCCAAACGTGATGACGCGGGCCGAGGCTTGCCGCAGGGTCTAAACTATGGCGACAAAGGAAGGTCCGGCCACCTCCGACAGCTCTTGTCAGATACAAACATACTACTGCTCAGCTCCTATCCACTACCTGGGTTTGCTGAAAGATACCGTCTACGGACTAACAAACATGCATCTTGAATCGAGCAACCTCCCTATCTATGCCACGTCTCTCACTGCCGCGTCCCTCTCAGCGACACTAGAGTGGGGTGAAGTTGATGGACCCAAGTTTCCCTTAGTAGAGCATCTTCAGACACCGAGTCGTCTACCAACAACCAGAAGCTTGCATAGTGTTCTTGTTTGACAATGTTGAGTTCAGCAGGTAATTGCTACAGAGAGCACATATATGACACTGTTGCTACCAAAACAAAGACATACACGTCGTTTACCTTGACAATGGAGCCTCAGTTCAGCTTGCTCACAACATCAGCTGTTTACTCTTCCGGTCAACCCATATAGTGCACAAATCCGAAAGCGGAGCGATGCTGGTTGTCGGCACTCCTCCGGAGGATCACTACAAGCACCGTAATCCTTCCAGAGATCTCACTCAAAGCCAACACAATGGCTCATATCATTCCTTTCAGAGATTCGCACGTCGAGAACGAACGAATAGGACGCGATGCTGCATTTGTGATTCGGGAGAATAAAGAGATGAATCATGTCTCTAAGAATATTCCAATAAAGTCGCCAATCAAAGAGCAACAAGAAGAAGAGGAAGGGGGAAACGAATTAGAGCCTTACGAAACCATGCGCCACAAAGTTAAACAGCTCATGCTCGATCTCTTCCCTGATCACTGCACCGATAATGTAAAGATATATCAGATGCGTGATGGTCGACATAACCGCATCGTTGGCGTCAGGCTCTGCAAAAAGCCGCCAGGAGCTCCTTGGTATTCGATTCAGGCTATACGTGAAATGATTCAGCCATGTCTTACGGGTCGAAAGAAATGTACAAGCCATTCAAGGCAATTCGTGTTACGAATTCCGCGCGATCCTACTCAAAACATGCACCATCAAGTCACTACCCTAGCATACTTGGGCTATAAGCTTGGAAATCCTGTCCCCAAAGTCATCGTTTTTGACGCAGGCGCAGAGAATGCTCTAGGCTACCCATACATGCTTCAGGAGTGGCTGCCCGGTCAGCCTCTCAGCAATCTATGGCCCACGCTAAACCAAGCACAGCAACTCAGTGCCATCCGAGCTATCTCCAACATCATTCTAAACATAAGAAAGATCAAGAACAGGTGTCCTGGCCTCATTAGCACCCGCAACACCACCTACGATCTCAAGCACGATATCATCAGTACCGAGCCAATACCTGTCCCTCGCACCCGAGCTACTACTCATTCGACGGGCGTCAGCACCTCACTTTCCGAACCGCAGAGTACAAAAGATTTCTTGCTCAACCTCTGCACCCGTCAACGTGAGTATGCTATCACGGCAAAACAGCCCGCTTGTGACGATCTCTGGGTTAGGATCATCAAGATGCTCGAGATACTACACGCTTTAGCTTTCATCCCTGATTCTTTGCCGTTCCATCTCTACCACGGCAATTTCAATCCGCGCAACCTCCTTGCTGCCATTACGTCGGAATCGACTGTGGAAATCACGGCTATCATGGATTGGGACCTGGCACTCTTTGCGCCAGCTTTCCTGAGCACAAGCGCTCCGTCCTTCATGTGGAATGGTGAAGCATTGGTTGAACCAGAAGAAGCAGGATTGTTAGAAGCCAAGCGGACGTTCGAGAATGTTGTTGGTGAGAGCTTTTCGAAGGAGGCGTACTGTTCGGAACTGGTGCTTGCACGCCGGTTGTGGCCAATCCTGATTACGGGGTTTACAAATGGCAGAGACATTTTTCTCGCGGAGGAAGTTGTGAGGGACTTTGAAAAGTTACATCCAATGACGTAGAGTAGGGTATGAGTAGTCACGGATCTTACCAGTACGTCATCGATCTGTTTCGAAAGGCAGTGATTGCTGGTCCTGAAGATGTTATTCCACATTCTCACGACACCAAGCACTGCGGTAATTCGCTGTCGCCTTTGTGGTAGCACCAAAGAGGCTCCTATGGTATGAAGCTGCGCATCATCGGCTCCACCTCAAACTCGGGCATCTCGCCTGTTGTAGTCTTGCCTAATAATCATGACAGTCCTCGAGCGCATAGTGTTTCTACGTATAGAAGAAAGCAGACCGTGCGATGCTTTATAGTTGTCAACCCGTAAGACAGTAGCTATGTGCAGCGCACAAGTGTGATTCCGAATATCACGTCTTGATTTGCCTTCGGGATTGGGAATGGGTTTTGACTGGCTAGCTTTGCAATTCCCAAGTATTGAATGATTTAATGTAACCCGGTTTGGCCTAATACGTCATGACGCGCCATTTTCGCGTTCCAGGGACGCGTATCTGGATGACAACTCCATCTCGACAAGCAAATTGAACGTTGGCTGCAAGTCTCACATATGCATACATTCATGCTTTGGAGACTGCAGTTTATTCTATCAACACGCAGAAAATGCGACTATCATGCTAGCGCCACTAATGCATCGTGCCCAGATAACCGCTCAAGCAGACACCGTCTGCGCATAGAAAGGATAGTCCGTGTACCCCTTTTGCGGTGGATCAGCGCCGTAAAATGTGTTGCGATCGTACTGATTTAGTTCCAGACCTTCAGCGAGGCGCTTGGGAAGATCAGGGTTTGCGATGAACCACCGGCCGAAAATAATAAGATCAGCATCTCCAGACTCGACCTTCGGCGCGGCGTTGTTCCTGTCGAAGCCACCAGCCGCGATGAATTTCACACCACCCTTCTGTAGGATGTTGCGGAAGTTCACCAGCGTGTTGCCTTTGACTTTCACAGTTGCTTCCGCTTCTACGCCCTTGCCTCCTTTTGTGGTGTATGCGGCTAGAGCGTCCATCTTAGCCTGCTCGTCTAGGACTTCGTCGAAACGCGGTTCGACCCTAGCAGTTGTCAGTATTGATCTGGCTATCGAAGTTGATCAGCTCACATATGAACATAGGCTGGCTTCTCGCCCTCCGGAAGCGATGCTATCTTTTCGCACAGGTACTCCCAGTGTTCGTTAGGGTTACTGTCCTTGGTGTTCTGGAAGTAGTTGTATGGGCTGAGACGAATACCAACTCGGTCAGCACCGATGGCTTTTGAGCACGCTTGGATGACTTCAAGAGGAAAGCGGCTCCGGCCCTCTATCGATCCGCCGTACTGGTCTGTTCTTTTGTTCACGTTATCGTGCAGAAATTGGTCCAGCAAGTATCCGTTCGCGCCGTGGATTTCGATGCCGTCAAATCCAGCCTCGACAGCCTTTTTCGCAGCCTCAGCCCAGGTCTTTGTCAGATCTTGAATCTCCTCGACAGTCAGCGGCTTGGGTGGATGGTCAGCGCACGCAACGCCGTCAAGCCAATTGCCCTCCATGGGCACGTCGCTTGAGCTGACAGTTGGCGCTCCGGCCCGAAACGACGGTGGACTAGCACGGCCGGTATGCCATAGCTGACAGAAGATGTACCCGCCCTTTGAGTGGACGGCATCGGTTACCTTCTTCCAACCGGCGATTTGAGATTCAGAGAACACGCCCGGTACACCTGGGTATCCGCTGGCCTGCTGCAAGTCAACACGTTTGCTCCAACAAGTTGCGAACGACTTACGTATTTGCCGATGTCAGTGGCCTCTGTTAATTGCAGCCCCCCCTTGCTCGCGCGTTGGCTGTAGTACTCAACGTGTAGTTCTTTGGGCACGAAAACGCCTTCTTCTTCTTTGGTGGCTCGCATACGTGTCAATGGTGCCTGCACGATTCTGTGCTCAAGATGCAGAGGGCCTAGCTTGAACGGCGAGAAAAGCGCAGTCTCTTTGAGTGGCTGGAAGCCAGTCGGGCTGTTTGCTTTTGGCATATTTGCAAGTTCCAAACGTGTACTAGAGATTGTGAAAGGGGAAGGTATGGGATCGTGGCTACCACAAAAGATTTTGAACAGCTACATGGTCGCTGCTCAGGGTCTCCTATGTACCTGACGCTAATTTCAAAACCAGTCGTCTTCATCATTGCAGATCCCATGTTAGTAAGTGGTGTTTGCAGATGCAGAAATGGGGGAGGGGCAGATCCAGCAAGAGATGTGACGAGGGTGATGTTTGCGGTGTGGGCACAAGCAGCCATCTGTACTACACGGCTGAACTGGGGTCCAAGAGTGGGGTATTACGGGTCTAGCCATCGGAGAGGCGAAATCGTCTATCATCGGAACATTCGCTTCACGTCCAATCAGCGATAGCATTACGTGAGGAAGGTGTGAATGCTGCAGAAGCGCATGTTCGCTGACCATATCATGAAGTCGGTATCGTGTTTTTGACCGTCTCATCGCTTTCTGTCAAGGTTCGACTCCAATCATGTCTCTGCCGATTCCACCAAAAAGCAGTGCAGCCCATCCACCACGGGGCCTTTCCGCTACGGAAGCCCTGACGCCTCTCATCGAGACGACTTTCCGAACACCAGATATCATAACGTACATCAACGGACGGAAAACGGTCATCAGTAATCCCAACCCGCACTGGACGTTGCTAGACTACATCCGCGCTCAGCCGAACCTCAAAGGTACGAAGCTGGGATGTGGCGAAGGCGGATGCGGCGCATGCACCGTTGTCCTACAGGTTCCAGACTGGCAGTCTGAGAAAAAGAGAATCAAACATCTGTCGGTAAACGCATGCTTGTTTCCCCTGGTTGGTATTGATGGCAAACATGTCATTACGGTCGAAGGTATCGGCAATGTCCACCGACCACATCCTCTACAAGAAAGGATAGCGAAGTTGCACGGCAGCCAATGTGGTTTTTGTGGGTTATACCTAATCGCGGTTCCAGGATCTGTGCTGATGTACACATAACAGGCACACCGGGTATCGTTATGAGTCTCTACGCAGTGGTACGCAACGCATACAACCCGGAGACAAAGAAGTTTCACCTCAGCGCTCGTGAGATTGAGATGGAAGGTCATCTTGATGGCAACTTGTGCCGATGTACAGGTTACAAGCCGATACTTCAAGCTGCGAAGACTTTCGTCACTGAGGATTTGAAGGGTCAGTTGGCAGAGGAGGACGAGCCAACGACTACCGAATCTGAGAAGTTGGAGAAAGATGTCCTCGATCTGACCCGCAATGGCTGCGCTGGTCCATCCAAAGTTTCCTGCGGTCGACCAGGTGGCTGTTGTAGAGACACACCATCCGATAGTAGCTCCACAGACACCAAGTCGGACATCTCATCGCCTCCAACGGAGCCTACATCGGCATCGGAAGACGAGCACATGCCAGTCATCTTAGATGCCAAGAAACAGCCTCAAGCAGATCCTGCTATCAGCGGCGCCGATTACGCAAAACCACTGAAGAGTAAGGAGCATGATGCTGCTGCCGAGACGAAGACCACTACATCTACAGTGGAGGCACCAGCGGCAGACTCGGTTAAAGGGATACCCACGATCGAGTTTTTAGAGTACGTTCCAGATACTGAGCTCATATTTCCTCCCGCGCTATGGAAGTACGAGCCACAGCCGCTATGCTACGGCAACGACAAGAAGATCTGGTTCCGACCTACCAAGCTTGAGCAGCTCGTAGATTTGAAAGATGCGTACCCATCAGCCAAGCTCATCGGTGGTGCTAGCGAGGTTCAAGTGGAAGTTCGCTTCAAAAACTCCGATTTTGCTGTTTCTGTCTACATCTCGGATATATCAGAGCTGAAGCAGACAAAACTGCCAATGTATGCAGAGCTTGAGGCAGGGAACGAGCTTGTCGTTGCCGCAAACACACCGCTTACCGAGCTGGAAGAGATTTGTAAGAAGGTCTATGCAATGCTTGGGAAGCGTGCAATGGTGCTGGAGGCCCTTCGTAAACAACTGCGATACTTTGCGGGTCGCCAAATTCGCAATGTTGCATCATTAGCTGGCAACATTGCGACTGCATCGCCCATTTCGGACGCTAATCCCGTGCTAGTCGCAGCCGGAGCGACACTTGAAGCTGTTAACAAGAAGGATGGTCGCGTCGATCTTCCAATGTCAAGTTTCTTTGTCGCTTACAGGACTACAACTCTCCCGCCTGATGCAGCGCTCCATCGCATTCGAATTCCTTTATCTCCACCAGGTTCACGAGAGGTTCTCAAAGCATACAAGCAAGCGAAACGTAAGGACGATGACATAGCAATTGTTACGGCTGCATTTCGAGTGCGTCTTGACTCGGAAGGCCTAGTAGAGAACGCTTCGATCGTGTACGGTGGCATGGCGCCTATGACGAAAGAGTCACCGAAGACGCAAAAAGCTCTCTTAGGAAAGCCTTGGTTTCACTCGGCAACTCTTGATGCTGCTCTTACAGCATTGCTGCAGGATTACGATCTTCCGTATGGCGTTCCAGGAGGCATGGCTGACTACCGGAAAACGCTCACACTCTCGCTCTTCTTCCGCTTCTGGCATGAGTCCGCCGCTGAGTTCGGTCTGGGCAACGTCGATGAGCAGGTGATTGATGAGATTCACCGTGAGATCTCCAGTGGTGCTCGAGATAACTACAATCCTTACGAACAACGTGTGGTAGGCAAACAGGTAGCACACTTATCTGCTTTGAAGCAGTGTACTGGCGAAGCAGAGTATATTGACGACATGCCGCGATTAGACCGTGAATTGTTTGGTGGACTCGTCATGTCAACAAAGGCACATGCTAAGATCTTGCGCATCGACTGGGACCGAGCGCTCGAATTGCCTGGCGTTGTCGGCTACATTGACCGACATAGCATCCCCGCGGATGTCAACATTTGGGGCTCGATCAAGAAAGACGAACCATTCTTCGCTGAAGATAAGGTACTTTCACACGGCCAGGTCATTGGCATGGTCTACGCTGAGTCGGCTCTGGAAGCTCAAGCGGCCGCTCGAGCTGTGAA